GCCTTGTTATACGTAACAAAAGGCGTTGTAATATCGGAATCCCACGAGGTGCCTTCTAAATTACTGGTTCCGGGAAATGCTAAACTCACGGGCAGTTGCAAAACACAGTGTGAAGCCTCTGACACATTGCTTCTCTTAACCTGGCGATACCAACGTGGCTTCTCTTGAAACCATGAACGTCGAAGATTTCAGTCAGAGAAAAAGTCACCGTCAACATGTCAACTAAATGCGATTCCAAGTCTTAAAACGCCACCCAAATACGATCGGTTCAAGGAATCTCCATTTCCTTGGAAAACTCTTTCGCTGCCTGTGACACCATTCCAGGTGAGAGTTTGGTTAATGAAATATTGAATGAATTTCTATTCTCATTCTTCCTTCATTTCTGTTTGGTAAATTGATTAGCATTAATTATTATAGGTAATACTTCTAAGACTAATGTAGTATTCTCAATTTCAGGTTAAATATGTGTGCTCTTAATATATGATTGTCACGACTATGTTGTTTTCCATTAATTTTTGGTGTCTCAAAATTACCATCAAATGCCTTGTTTAATGTTCTAGATGTATATTGATTTGACTGGAATCAGTATTATTCCGCAGATAATTATGTGCATATAAATTTACTTTGAAATGCCACATCCTTATAAGAAAATGCAACCACCCTTTGTAATTGGCAATTAATTTTGAATTCTGTAACCTGACTAAATTTTTTTTTTCAGTGTTGGGTAGAATAGCTTGACCATTTTGCATTTTTTTTCAACACAGCATGTGACTGGTTCTTGGTTCTAACGAAGAAAAATGAAGGAAACATTCATTAATGGATTCATTCCTTTATGAGGATGTTTTACCATTGTCCATATGTTTACATCATTTTTGTTGGATAACTGAATAGAGCTCAACTATATTGTACTAGTGAGTTATCATGAACAGTCAAATATGACCTTCAAATTTGTTTTTTTCTATTTTTGCCTCGAGCTGCTATTTTCCCTTTTTTTTATAGGTTATATTACTAACTGTCGTGTCTTCCCCTGTTATTAAAAATGAAAATTATAAGTCATTGTTGAAACATGGATGCCAATGATAAATGTGTATAGGCATATCTTATATTGTATTTTTTATGCGGTGATATCATGATGTGAATTTTTAAAATTAGGAAAACGGTAAATTTCAAAATTATTATGATAATATTTTTTATTTTATCACATGATTATATATATATATATATATATTAAATGTGTCCCTGCCCTATTTTTTCAAAAAATTTCATGTCGTCATGTCGTATCCATGTCCGTAGTCCTTAGCTTAGTCAATGAAAAGTCAAAGTAAGGATCAAAATTTTATTTTGGTGCATGGTTTTGGTGATTCGGAAAATAGAAATATTTCGAAAATAAGATGGAAATAAAGAAAAAATTTAAAAATCTGTTTCTGAAATATTAGTCAAAACAACTGAAAATTTTCAAAACATAGGTTGAAACACACTAAAACATAAGGATTTTGATATTCAATCAGTGATTCGTTTCGGTTCCCATGAAAACGAAAACGTTTTGAATGTTTGGACTGTTTCAAAATGAAATTTAATTCCTTGAGTCAAAGGATGGTACTGATTAGGCTCATCGAGTAATTCGAACAAATTATATTACTCACAAATATTGTGATTTGCCCGTTGCAACAGTAAAATGTTCTCGAACAATTCGAACACATGGGGTGGACAAGACTTTGTTGAATTGAGATGATATTTTAACGTAGATCTTGTCAGCCCCATAATGACCTTTGACAATGCACAATGAGAGAATATGATTTATGTAGTCGAACCTGAATGGATGGAACGATACTTTATTTAGTTGAGCTGAGTTGAGAAAACATTTCTCATAGAGCATCCAATGCCCTCTTTGTTGTGTTTAGAAACATTACATTTGCACTATGTAATCACAATGTATTCCATAACAAATTAATAAACAAAGTATTATCTGATACCCACTAGTCATATACTTGTCATCCTCATCCAAAGTACATTTCATAGAACATCAGTTGCTTGTAAGAGACGTAATTATAGTAATTAGTTTCATAGGAGAATATCTCATTTTTTACTCCTACTATAGGGGTGTATTAATCATCTCTCCTTACATTGTCCGGTGGTTTTGTCTCTATAGGGAAGGTTATTTTCTTTGAGGGAATTGTGTCGGGTTTCACCATTTCATGTGAACCTATGTTTTTTTACTGAATTTGGGAGTTTAGAGTTTAGAGTTTGGAGAAGAGGAATAATGCTCAATCCCTTTGGCATTGTGGGGTGTTTTCTATTTTTTAGATTTCATATTCGGAATGGAACACAATTTTTTTTTTTACCATAACTTTGAAGATGAGGTTTCTCGATTGTGATGTGTGTGTCACATCCCTAGATTCCTTAGTGACATAAGCCTTGTACACTGAGCTGCCCTTTTGAGTTTGAAGAGGATGTTGATTTAGAGGAAATAAATTTTTTATTTTTTTTGCTTTTTTGGGGTTCAGACTCTTGTTTTTGGGGGCAAATTCTGTTATTTTTTATGAGGGCAAATGGAAATCTATATGTGAAATGTAATAAGTCTTTTTGGGTTTTTTATTGCACCTTTCTTGTCTCTCTTTATTAGAGGATCACACCCCTTTCTTTCACTGGCTTCTTATTCTTAACAAAATTTTTGCCATTATTGATATAAAAAAAAGAGGTGCAATTCGGAGTGCAGTGGATTAGTCAAAAGTGGAATTCAGATTTTGGTGGTTTAATATTTTCAGTTATGGTATATAAGGCCTTCTCCACTCGATCTTTTCCAATAACTTGACTCAATATTGTTAAAAATTCCCATCTTCTGCCTATAGCTGATTTCTTTAATTTTTTTCCTCATCTCTTTCCTCTACTTCTTTACCTTTGAAACCTCTTTCCCTCTCAATTTTCTCTTCCTTCTCACATTTGCTTCCATTCTAATATTTTCTATAAATAAGCTCATATCATTCAGGCACATGTCCACCATTCTCAATGGAATTGAATCTCTCAAAAGTATTCTTTCTTACTTCTTTTTCGTCTTTCTGTTCTTATAATGCCGTAATGTTGAAAATCCTAATAGAAAAGATAGAACACAACAAACATGGTGTTTTTAGTTCTAGGCCAACATAAATCCTGAAAGACGAAAGGATCATGATCGATTACTCGGTAATTGTTTTTCCAAAAGCCATTTTATCCTCCTTCAACACTTCGAAGGCGCTTTTGAAAGAATTGTGATCAATTTATGCGTATTCTCAATGATATTGAAGGGCATAATCCTTAAAAATACTTGCATGTTATGATCTTGGATTATCCCCCTTGAAAAGACGACACCAATCAATTAAAATGCTTGCTTATCGAATGCTGGTGGATGCGATGGATGATTACATTCGCGCTGGGGAAAGAAAATAAATACTAAGTTTTAACTTTTTTGTCAAGCAGTTGGGTGTGTATCTTAGATCCAGGAAAGATGATATTGCTAGATTACTTGTCGTTGGAGAGGCTCATTGTTTCCCAAAATTAATGAGATGGCTATAATGAGTTTGGTTATGAACCATCATAACATAATTTGTTATTAGTAGTTCTATGAGAGGGTATCAATGACTTTGAATCCTTCATAGATAATCATGTTATAGTTAGAGATATGAGTGCCCATCATGATCTCCCCATTGACTTAATTTAGCATTTGTGGTAACATTATGGAGGGATGTTGTAACGCCCCGGTTTCTCGGACACGTTAATTGAGAAATCAACGACCATAAACCATTAATATATCGGTTAGAGTTTTAATTACCTCAAAGTCAAATAAAAATAACCAGTAATATAGTCTCCAAAATACACAAATGAATATCCTCACATCATTTATTTCAACCATGAAAATTGAAGTTTCAAAACTTCAACTCCCGATATCCCAATCCATTTCCTTTTCTTTTAAGTCCACCCGAAAAATTATGTGGAGAAGTATACAATATGATAAGAAATAATATGCTTAAAAGAACAAGAATATTGAAGATATTAGATCAAATTAGAATAGCTCAATCAATGAAAATCACTTAACTATACATCAGTCTATATCCCATGTAATGTACGATTTGGGTTATCGGAATTTTGTGCACACTCGCAAGGACCACGACATCTATCAACCCTATCCACGCCAATTATTTTGAAACAATCTAAGTATTGTTTCATATTTTTTGAAAAAATAGGGTTTATTTTTCAAATTTGCAATTTCGGCCCTTCTCCTGAATAGGCCTAGGGCAAGAGCTCCTAAGTTGCCCAGCCCCTTGTGGTTGTTTTCGATGACTTTTTTTGGTGTTGTGACAACCGGCTTCACTGTTTAGTGCCAAAACAGAGTGTAGGCTTGTAATTTTCTTCGGTTTTTGACTATTTTGGCCTCTGTGTTCTCCTCGAGGTCCACTGTTGTGACTGGCTTCGCTGGTTAATTTTGGGGTTTGATCCGGCATGAATTGCGTGGTTCTATCTGCTTTTTCAGCTCTGTTCTTTCGTTGTTTGTGAGATTGGTGGTTGTTTGTGAAATAAAATTGGGAAAACCTCATTAATTGCTGAGATATGAGTTTCCATGGGCATTGGAAACTTTCCCTTTCAACTCTATTAACATCCCATTGATTGTCTTGCAACTCTTATTTTCTGTTGGTAACTAAATGCCACAAATAATTATGTCCTAAGTAAACCTTCAAATCCATGTACCCACTATGTGTGGTGGATCTGTTTAAGAGAGAAGGGGATCCGTGTTGTGTGGTTTCTGGTGCGCATGGGTTACACGGGTCATCGACCTGAACGTAAAATTAGATGACTTGAATATGACTTGAACCTAAAATAACAAGACCCGAACATGATAAGGATCGATTGACACCACCCGTAATTAAAATACCTATCTCCTCACCTTTAGTTTTTCTTTGTTTTTATACTATTCATTCTCTAATACTTTGGGTCGAGACAATTTTTTCCTTCTTTCCAGGGAAACTATTGTCCGGCCAAACAGGTGGTAATACATACCCAGTTGGTTGCATGATTGATCCTAGGTTTCATGTCGAGTTATCAAGACACTGTACAGGCTAAGGTAGCCAACACTTTCTCAGAGCACTTTATTAAACACATGAAGCGTAATGCCTGCATAATTTAGACCTGGAATTTTATTTGACGTAGCTATGCATGACTGACCACATTTATATTGGTTTCCCCAGCTCCATGCTGTATACATTCTGATGATTTCTTTTTCATCTTGTTTGATGTAGATCTTTAAGTTTAGTTCTGTCTGGATACACTGCCAAGTCTATCTGATGGGGTGGGGAAACATCTACAGAAGGCGCATGAGAGTGTTCACATTGGCTATTGTAATTTACATGGATTATAAGGTATATTTTGTTTCTTATTTTCCAGTTAATATGCTGGGGGATTCTCAAATGTTGAGGACAAACTACTCTTTCATTACTTTATTTATTCTGTTTAGCACCTGAAGACCTTTTTGTCCTTTTTGGTTTGTGGTTGCATACCTGAAGGCTTTACAGCAGAGAGAGAAATGGATGAGCAAAACAAAAAGGGCTGATCTATGGCAGAAAGCACATGAGCGTAATGCAAAGCGTGTCCTTAATTTAATGATAGCGTTGGAAGGTTTGTGGGTTAAACTTGGACAGTACTTATCCACACGTGCTGATGTGCTCCCTGAGCCCTATATATGCCTTCTAAAGCAGTTACAGGACTCTCTTCCTCCGCGTCCCTTGGAAGAGGTAATTTTTTCAGCTAAGAATTTCAAAATATCACTGGAGTGGGACTGCCCATCTAGTTTTTTTTTGTCATACTCATGGAGACGCATGCAATCTACCAGAAGCAAAATTAGTATTTTATGCTTTCACAAAAACAATCATTTGTTCATTTGATCAAATTGATGTACTTTTTTTTTGGTAATGTTTCTTCTATTAAGAAAATGCTATGCTTATACTTTAAAATTTACTTTGTTAGCAACACACTCGCTGATATGTGGCAGTCAGTTGAATCTAGGTTCTTAATATGATGACTATTTTGAGTGTATTAGGGTTCAAGGTATCGACTGACTCCTACATGACTCAGCTGAGTTGTAACTGTACACATTATGAAAATATCCCATGTCCCACCTCAATCCGCAGGGATTCGGTTACAACTCGGTGGTATGGCTTGACCGGGGGATTTACATTGGTACAAATCAGATGATTCATGTTGGACTTGGACCGATATGGTAAGAGTCTTCGGCAAAATTGGCAAAATCACAAAGAAAATCCAAAAAACAAAGGAAAAAGGGAAAGGGAGAAGAAAAGCTTAGAATCAGGAACCCAATATTCAGAAAACCAAAATGTCGGGCTCTTTCTTTCACTGTTCCCCAAGAAATTTCTTAATGCCAATATTTTCTGTTTCGTCGACCCTGAGCTTGTGGTCCTCCTCTAAGTGGGTTCAATTGGATGAATCTGTCAAGTCAAGTCATGGTCAACGTATGTAGCAGTAAGGATGGTGCATCGCCTATTTCTTGTTCTTGTTTAGAAGCTAAAGCGAACACACCTGCTACCTACTATATTGGACCTTCGACTAGACATTCTACCTTTGTTGAGGAGAAACCAATAAAATCTGAAACTGTCAAAACCTTAAATTGTAGAAATCATCTACAAATTCATCCCTTTTTGCAAGCATATAAACAAATAAACAATTGCATGGCAAACCTGTAAAATCGAAGACAGAACCCTTCATCTTCTTCTACAATAGGTAGTAGTAGGATTTCTTTCCCATTGATCGACTCTAACTTGAGCTTCCGATTGCATAGTCAGAGATGATTCGTTTCTCTAGTTTTCTCTCCTTGTCTCTCACGTTCTCTTTCCCTCTCTCTCTATAGGGGCAGATGAGCGACTAGAATAGAAGAGTGAACCTCTTTTCTGTTTTTTTTTTTTTGTATTTTGGGTTTATCTTATAAGTCTCTCTCTAGAGTTTGCTTTTGTACATTCTAGCTAAACTTTTTTTTATTACTTTTTAAGTACTAAACTATAAAAAAAAAACTAAATATAATAATAATAAGTGAGACAATAATTATGATTTGGGCTCGATATGTCAGATGCTTAGATTGAACAATGACGATAACAAATATTTTTAGTAATGCCCTCATACTCAATTTATTATTTTTAATGTGATTAATGTGTTAGTAATGCCCTCCTCCCGTGATCCTTGAGTCTCCTTCTTGGATCCTTTGTGTTGATGGTTTGATTGGTGTTCAAGATCTTCAACAATGGTAGCAATAGTTCTTCATAAGAATTCTATGTTGATCTTGAAGCAATTCGAGTTTTGATCTCTCTAAGATTATGTTCTCTCTTGTTAGAGCTATCTCTCTAATAGCTTCTTGTCCCATATAGAAGTCTTAGGGGACGACCTCTTTAAATAGGAATAGGAAATAAGAGTTCTGGTTGAGTGTGGAAACCTATTTGCATCACAACGCTCGAGCTCTAAGCGAGCAGCCAGAGTGCACTGGCCAATGGAAAGCCAAAACAGGAAAGCCTCCATCCAATGACTCATCTCAAAAGCCATTTTCGAAAGCTTAAACCCTAAAGTTTCAAAAACAGTTTAACACAAAACATCCGAGCCATGAACAAATTAATACTCACAGTCTAAATGCAATTTTAACACCTAAGTTAAACCAAACTAAGACAACTAGGTAACTAAGTTATCTTACCTCACCTAAGCATGATATGATCCAAAAAATAGCTTGAGTTTTTGTTATGTTATATGTTATTTCTAGACTAAGGGTAGTTTTGTACTTTGTGATTATATATAAAATTTGGGTGTAGCTCTTAACTTGATAATCTACCTTGGTATTAGAGCATCGGTTCAGATTTGAAACCCTTTAGTTGTTGAATATCGTCGGAAATCGTTGCAAAGCATCAAAGTCGTTGACATATTTTTCTGACATGCTGACGTCAGTGACAGGAATGCTGACGTTAGCTACTAGAATGCTGACGTTAGGATTGAGTTTCGTAAAAAAGTTTCGAAATTCTTATGAGAGATTCAATTTGGCCTTTTAAGAATTACAATATTTTTTGAAAAATTTTTGAATACATCTAGCTTGTTTTTTTTAACATTTTTATGGAATTTTGGGATTTTCTTGGTTTACACCCAAATTTGTTGTTCTTGAGCAATCTGGGAATTCTTTTTGGACCCAACCTGTTGGATTTGGCTCGACTAAGGTAGATCTACAATGCCCAGACCGTATTCTTGCATTTGGAGTGGATTGGTACATGTTTTGGCTGCTAGTAGTGAAGTTGTTCAAGTGACGCCTATTGCTTCTAGTGGCATAACATAAGCTGTTTGCCTTCCTTGGATTGCCTTTCATGTACCAACGATAATTGATTAAGGCTATTTTGGATTGTCCATAACTTGTTGCAGTTGGAGTGGATCGGGGAGGTTTTTTGACAAAAAACTATGTCGGTCTCCAATTTTGGCCTCGCTTTGTGTTTTTAATCACTGTTTGTGTTTCTAACCACTGTTTGGCTATTGGTTTCCTGTATTTTGGCCTATGGTGTTACTTTAGGTGCTATCTAGAAGCTTTGTTGTTGTTAGATCAGATCTGGGTGTGTATTGGCCACCTATTCAGTTCAGCTAGTGAGTTTTTAGCCTTTTTTCAGTTTCGACAGTGTTGTTGGGGTTTTTTAGATCATTCGGGGATATCTGTTCCACACTTCTTGGGTTGTCGTTTGAGGTCTTTCTGCTTTGCTATTTTGGGGCTACTAGATGAATTCTTTGGCCACTTTTTGATCCTTTTTGGCCACTCTTATTAAACTGATTGTTCTCGCTTTGTCTCTAGGTCTTGTTCTGGTTGAGGCATATTACTTGTGCTGTATTTGCTTCTTGGTTTTGTGTATTTTTGCCTATTATTGAAAGTGTTGGCTATTTTGTTGGTTTTGTGACTCGCTGGTGTGATTGTTTGATCCTATTGCGTGGACATATCGAAAGGGAGTGTAGTCTCTAGCAAATTTTACTCAAGATGAGATGCAGATTCTTAAGCGTTTGATTGCTCAACTTGATGTTTCTTCTATTGCACTTGATATTTCCTCTACTACAACTCTTAATCCTATCTCTTCTTTCAACTTTGCTTATACAGGTATATCTACTAGTGGAGCCATAGATAATATGTCAGGTTTTTCTAGCCTTTTATCCTCATATTATACTTGTTCTGGTAGGGATGAAGTGAAGGTGGCAGATGGATCTTTATCCTCTATTTCTGGAAAAGGTTCAATTAATTGTTCACCTTCTTTATCTCTCTTCTTTGTTCTTCATGTTTTCAAGTTCTCCACTAATTTATTGTTTGTTAGCAGAATTACCAAATCCTTAAATTGTTCAGTGATTTTTTTCTTGCTTATTGTATATTTCAAGTTCTGGAATCATCGAAAACGATTGACAATGATAGAGCATATAGTGATCTGTACCTCTTAGATGTAGAAACTTCTTCTCAGTCTATCAGTCAAGCTCTTCAAGCAGATGGTGTTTCAGCTCTTACATCAGTGGCATAGATGTTTGGGGCATCCATCATTCGGTGTTTTAGAACATCTTTTTTCTAGTTTAGTGAAATAGTATAGTGGACAATTCTTTGTTTGTGATGCTTGTGAATTTGCCAAGGACAGATGTTCATCTTATCCTAGTACTAACCATAGAAGCGCTACACTTTTTGCCATTATTCATTCAGATGTGTGGGGCTTTTCCCGTATTGTGTCTCCTTTTGGTTATTGTTGGTTTGTTACCTTTATTGACTATTATTCTCATCTTACTTGGGTTTACCTACTCCGCAATAAAGGTGAAGTTTACTTATGCTTTAGATCTTTTTATAAAATGGTGAGTACTCAGTTTAATGCCAAAGTCAAAAATTTTTAAGTGATCTTATCTCAATGAAAATGGCATCTTGTACCAAACTACTTGCGTGTACCCCTGAGCAAAATGGGGTTGTTGAGCAAAAAAATGTCATCTTCTTGAGGTTGCTTGTTCATTGATGTTTATTATAAATGTTACTCAATCTTTTTGGGGGGATGTAGTCGTTACCGCTGATTATCTTATTAATCGTTTATCCTCGAGGTCCTCCAATGTAGATCTCCTATAGAGTGTCTTTCTAACTCTTTTTTCATACCTTATATTTCTTCCCTTTCCCCTAACGTTTTTGGGTGTCTTTGTTTTGTATTCGATTATAGACGCTATAGGAAAAAACTTGACCTCAGGGCTTTGCGATGTGTTTTTGTTTGTTACTCTGCCACCTAAAAGGGATATAAATGTTATCATCCAAAGTTACAGAAAATGTATGTTAGTATGGATGTTATCTTTCGTGAATTTGAGTTCTTCTACTGCTCGGACATCTCTTCAGGGGGAGAATACCATTATAGGGAAAGAGAAGTTTTGTTAGGAGCCTTTTATTCAATTGCCTGTTCGGTGGAATGTTAGTCATGGAGAGAGCAACAATTTATGGAGAAAAGAGGTGATGGAAGTGATGCACATGATGTTCACCTTCACAAGGATAATTTGAAGACTTACTCTCGGCGTCAGAAAGTATAGATTACCAATGTACTGTTGGATCAGTCAAATTCTTCCACTCCAATTTCATCCTCCACTAATTTATAGGTAATGAACCTCTAGATGTTCCTCTTATTATTGATTATCTAGTTGTTGATGACTATGATCTTCCTATTGTAGTCAGAAAGGGTGTTCGAGCTTGGACTCAATATCTTATCTCTAATTTTGTCTCTTATGATTCCTTGTCTCCATCCTATCGCACTTTTGTTTCCTCCTTATCTTCTGTGTCCATTTCTGAGGGTTGGAAATAAAATCTAACTGATTCTAAGTGGAGAGAAGTTATGGTAGAGGAAATAAAAGCTTTGAAGAAAAATGACACATGAGAATTGGTTCCTATTTCTTATGGAGTAAGGGCAGTGGGGTATAGATGAGCGTTTACCAGCAAACAACAAGTTGATGGGATTGTTGAGAGGTACAAAGCAAGACTAGTTGTTAAGAGATTTACTCAAGACATATGGTATTGATTAGCAGGAGACTTTTGTTCCCGTAGTAAAGATGAACTCTATATGTGCTCTTGTCTCTTGTGCTGCAAATTTGGAGTGGAGTTTATAGTAGTTGGATGTGAAGAATGCCTTTTTTCACGGAGATTTGGAGGATGAAGTATACATGGAGATTCCTCCAGAAAGGTGTGTAAGCTGAAGAAATCTCTTTATGGGTTGAAACAATCTCCTAGAGCTTGGTTTGATAAGTTTCTCAAAGTTATGCTAGGGTCAGACAGATCATACCTTGTTCGTTAAACGGGTTAATGGAAAGATTACTGTTCTTATTGTATATGTGGATGACATAGTGATAATTAGAAATGACGAGCATAAAATCACCAAGTTAAAAGTTCTGTTGGCTAAGAAGTTCGAAATCAAAGACTTGGGTCTACTGAGGTATTTCTTTGGAATTGAGGTTGACAGATCAAACAGAGGTATTTTTATGTCCTAGGGGAAGTCTATTCTTGACCTTCTTAAGGAGACAGGGTTGTTGGGATGCAGACCTACGGTGATGTTGGGATGTAGGCCTATAGATTCTCCTATTAAAGTCAACCATCGACTGAGTGGTGGTGTTGGTGAGGCAGTAGAGAAAGAGAGTTACCAAAGCCTAGTAGGGAGATTAATATATCTCTTATCCACTTTGTCAGAAATTACTTATGCAGTGGGTGTTGTTAGTCAATATCTCAAGTTAGCTTTGGGAAAAAGGATCTTATTCTCTAATAATGGCCACTTGAAGTTGGAAGCATATAGTGATGCAGACTGGGTAGACTTTGTGGATGATAGAAGATCTACTTCAAGTTATTGCACCTTGAGTAGAGGAAATCTTATCACATGGCGAAACAAGAAGAAACAGTATTAACTAGATCTAGTGTAGAAGCTGAATACAGAGCAATGTCTTATGGAATCTGTGAGCTTATGTGGCTCCAAACACTACTGAGAGAGCTGAGAATTCATGATAATTGACCTATGAGACTATATTGTGACGACAAGGCTGCTGTAAACATTGCTCATAATTTGGTTTAACATGACTGGACCAAACATGTTGAAATTGACCAGCACTGCATCACAGAGAAGTTAAATAAGGGTTTAATTGCATGTTTTTTGTGAAATTAAAAAAACAGTTGGCTGATGATTCACAAAAGACCTTGGTAGTAAAGTTTTTCATCCCATTGTTTGTAAGTTGGGCATGAGGGATATTTATGCACCAACTTGAGGGGGAGTGATAGGTTATGTGTTATTCCAAGACTGGTTGTAGTTTTGTATTTTGTGATTATATATAAAAGTTGGGTGTAGCTATGTAATCTAACACACTACTCTCTTTCATATTCTTCTTCCCTCTCCTCCTCTCCTCTCTAAACTCTCTTAACTTGATAATCTAACTGTTACTTCACCCTATCTTGCTTCCGTCTTCAATCTTCTTTTGCCACTTGACCATGGATTTAGTTGAGATACAAGTTATATAGTGACCTTACAAAATTAGCCAATTACAATATTTTTTCTAACACCTACATCTATATATATTAAGTTTTGTGAGGGTAAATTTATGCAACTAACAAAACATATGATCTGGGCGAGGATAAAATTGACAGGAAGAAAAGTATTATTGTAGATGGCTGAAGTAGTTTGAAAATTAAGTTTTATTATGAGTTTCTATCCATATAAATATAAAGCTAACCTCCCCACGCCTTAAAAGCATTGTGTTTTCTTGTAAGTTTATATTAAGATTCTTCTCTTAGTTTTGTTTAATTTGTTTGTTTATCTGGTCCAAAAATGAACTCTGTTCTACATCTCTTGATCTCCCTCTGTTTTGCTTGTTATATCTATTTTGAATCTGCTTTTGCAGTTGGCTTTTATATTTCATGTTCTGCCTGCTCCTGAATCCACTAACCATAAGCTATCTGAGTACCTGATCTCTCTATCTTTATAGTTCAAGCTTGAGCCAGCCATGTATGCCTTGTCATAGCTTTGATAGGTTAAAGTGGCTTGATAAAAGGAACTTGATCTGTTTGCAAAGCACTAAAGGGTGAAAATTTGGAAATACACATACATTCTTGTCCTAATAGGCTGTAAAAGGTTTTATTAGCAGAAAAATAAAGAAAGGCTAAATGATAATGAGTAGGGAAATTAACTTTCCTACATGTGTATGTTTACATAATTTTGTATATGTATATTATATTTTTATATTTTTATTTTGTTCCATAACGTAGAATATCTGTTGAAGCTCCATGGCTTAAGTGGAAAGTTATTGTTACACAGGTTTGCCAGACTATACAAAAAGAACTGGGGAAATCCATGGATGATCTCTTCTTAAATTTTGACAAAATACCTTTGGCAACAGCATCGGTAAGATCCTCAAACTAACCAGGGTCGTAATACAAAAGCAACAAGAATAGTTAGTTTCAGACCATTTTAATGGTTCCATCTCTAACATGTATATGTTAAACTGGTAGCCCTAATATTGGAAGTTATAGTTGTCACGAAGTAAACTTTGGCTTGTCTAGGTAGGACACAAATCAACATTTCTTTATGATGTTGCTATCCTCTGTTTATCATCAATATCATGAACATCATGGTTAATTGGTATTAGATATCCTTGTCTGGAAAGGAGGCAACTTACAAGGTTTTAGTTCCCTGTTGTATTTGTCTACAAAAAAATAACATATTACAGGGAAGGAGGAAAAGTGTGGAAAAACTTTTGGTACTTATCTGTCCTGACAGTGTGACGTTCATTATAGTTTTTACCCTAAAAGTTCTCATGGTTCTTATTTTGGTTAAATTCATCCTCCATCTTTCAACATGTTTTTGTTTAATCCAATCCATGCCTTCCATGAAAACACTTGACAGAAAATTTCATGCATCACTATGGAAAAAATGAAACATGTGCATCACATAATGTACAGGTGCTTTTTTCATGAAAACTTTTTTTCGTCATTGATTGTATTGAATTGAAGCTGTATGGAAAGTTGGAGGATGAAATTGATAAAAAATAAACTTTAAGGACCAAAATGGGAATTGGGAAAACACTGGGGGCAAAAATTATAATTAACACAAAATGGAAATATTGGGATTCATTGGATGTGGAAAGATCCGATTTACTGTGTATTTCTATAGATATGGGTCCATTTTTGTCCAAATAACGAGCTTCATAAAGTCCTGTGTTGCACACTGGCATTAGAGTATGTATACTGATTATTTGTCATAGGCTTGGCAAAACTATTAATGTTTAATGTTGTAATGCTCTCCTTTTGTCACATTCCATTCCAGAAGTGTCAATCTCACCTTTCATAGGATGAGGTAGGACTACATACATTGATTGATCTATCCGCCATCTCCCTTTTGGAAAGAAAACCCCATTATGACTACACCTGTGATCCATTTTATCCACCAGTAAGATAAGTAATTGTTTTGGATTCCAATAACCTTCTATGGATAGGAAAACATACATAAATACAGAGTGCATCATTATAAACAACAATACCACCAAGGTATCTCACCCTCATAGTAAACTGTTATTATGTTCACTATGGCATTGAGCTGGAGTCTTACAGGAATTTGTTTCAGGTTTAGATTATATGATATATATATTTCAACTTGGGGGAGAGTGTTAAGTAGTATGATTTATATATTATTGTAATAAGTATATTACTAATGGGTATACTAGTCTTTTCTAGTTTAACACGATAACTATATATATATGAATTGAGAGTGTGAGGTAGGGTTAATTTTTTTCCATCCTAACTCGCACACACTTTTCTCTTGAATCGTTCTCTTACTATTCCAAACTTTACAAAATATTTTACCATGAAAAACATTTTATTGTCTGCATGATCCAAACCTTGCCACATTTAAGACAGATAGTACACAACATAAAGCGTAGCCAAAACCATTGGTTCAATGATACAATTAAGTGGAATGATGAGTTGCCATACATTATAGCGGTCTACATCTTGAACGTGAGGATAAAGGAGTTAAGAAAGGAAGTTTCTGGTATTGCCAAGTCCCTAGTGCGGCATGCATCTATGGGGGCATCAAAACAAAGTTCTAGATATTGCCACATGTTCTTTCCTTATCTTTTACTGCAAAGAACAAAACCTACAAGTTCTTGTTTAGAACCATCAACAGACATCTCTAGCCTTGCTTTTTTTCATCTCAAACCCCCTCTGCCTCCCTATCTTTGTGCTTTGTATCATATTCAAGTTTCGCAGAAGTCAGAAAAATGTTTATGGGGACAAAAGTCATCATTTTGGCTTCTTCATCAGCTTTCCTTGAAGTGCTGTTACACAATCTTCAATATCTATGCCTAAAATAAGAAGATTTGGAGCAGATTTCGAGGTTGGGAAGTGAAAAATTGGAGATAAATGTGAAGAAAATTGGCTAAAATAAAGAAAATCTGAAGACTTTATTTTAGAAAACAAGGGGGTATGTCGCATATGTAAATTACTTGGGCTTGCGGTTTGTGACACACCGTTTGGCCTGATCCGACCTGGATTGGCTGTTACGGGCGCTACTGACCCACATTCTCGTCTGAAACAGCTGATATGGGTGTATTGGGGGCGTAATGGGAACGGAGGCCAATGTTACCGTGACGAAATGGCCATTGTGAACAATAGTGGCCTATTTTCAAAACTGTCCTTAAGCATAGTTGAAGATCAAAATTGTCATCAACAATTGGAAAGAACGAAGTGTTTCTGGAATTACAAAACAGACAACCAGCTTTTCGTGAGTTGGTATACAATTTAAGACATGCTTAGCAAATTCTTCCCATATTGACATTATACCCCTTCACTTTACTACTGATCTTCATAGTTGACAAAACTTTAGGTTCTCATGTCACTGTTTTTTGACAGGATACTGGTTAAAAAAGATGAGAGCATATAGAAAAATATAGTTGAACTATACATATCCTTGTCTCATTTACACTTGCTTCCCTCATATGTTAAGAAAAGGCACTTTCACCCCACAAGTTTTTAGTTAGACATTGCATTTTGAGCCTCAAAATATGTCAAATGCTATGAAATGCATGCCCAGCTCTTTTGTTTTACTCTATGCAGATAGCACAAGTTCATCGTGCAACTCTGACCAACGGGCAGGAGGTGGTTGTTAAAGTCCAACATGAAGGCGTGAAGACAATAATATTGGAGGTTTTCACTTTGGCCTTGGTTTGTATGATGTTTGGATGCATGCAGTAATTAGATCTGAATTCGCATATGATTGTGGAGATTGTTTTCCAGGACCTAAAAAATGCGAAGTCAATAGTTGACTGGATAGCATGGGCAGAACCACAATATAACTTCAACCCTATGATAGATGAATGGTGCAAAGAATCTCCCAAGGAACTAGACTTCAACAATGAGGCAGGTATGCTTGTGATTTATTAAGATGATTTTATATTTTGTTTGTCATTTTAGCTATGTAACTCTTTAATTGGATTTTATCCCCCAGTTTTGTTGTGTAGAATTTTTTTGTATCTTATTATTAATGATTCTCTTTGTGTTTGTAGAAAATACAAGGACAGTCTCTAGAAATCTAGGATGCAGTCACAAATGTGATGAATATGTGCCGGCCAATCGGGTGGATGTATTGATTCCGGAAGTTATTCTGGTATCAACCTTCTCTAACCTTTGTATTTTTGCGCAGGCTATACATTTGGTTATTGCTCGTGCTAAGCTAGAGGATACCCTTATGATGTCAACAAGATCTAATGACACTATTTACCCTCTAAGTCTAAGAGATAGAACGGTTAAATTATAATATAAACTAATATTCAAAAAGAGAGAACATGGCTGAAAAAGTGAGCAAAATTAAGAGTGTGTTTGGATATGTTCTTAGAAAACAGTATCAAAAAACATGTTTTTAGAAAGAACTTTAGAAAAGTGGGTTTTAATTTTTTTTGTATCGTAAAACATGTTTGGCTACATGGTCATGAAACACAATTTCAAGAGACAAAACAATAAAACATATTTGGATAGGGGATCAGACAACAAATAAAAAATGAGATGTAATTTGGACTTATTGTTTTTTCGTCATTCAACTGGAAGGAATTGAAGATAATATCATATTGACCTTCAGACACCCATGTTTGAGTTTGAAAGAAAAATGTGAAAAAATCATCACAATACATGGATCACCAAAATTATCACTACCCAGTAGCATAACAGTGACAAAATCATGATACAAAATCAAGGATTGAATAGCTATGGACAAAAATTTCTCAAATCCTTTCATATTTTTTAAAATTAGAAAAGGGAAATCCATTCCCACAAATCAAACAAATCTGGGTGTGAAGTTATAGATTCAACATAGATCTAAAGTTTGTAGGCTTGGCCGGAGCAAAGTTTGGTCGTTACTTTCAGTGGGTGATTAATTTGGTTAGGGCACAACGATTGTGTAGTTGTGCTTCATACGATTCTCTTGAGTGGATGTGAGGAGTTGTGAGTACAGTGCACAACAAATGTGCATTTAAACTGAACATTAAGTGCACAATAATTTTGATTGTGTTTTTAAAATTCTCCAAATCATGTATAAGTCGTTTTCTAAAACTACCCCCTTTCCGTCCCAATTTTTTTGAAAACGAGATACATGTCTTAGTTGGCCAAACATGTTCTCTACAATTTTTAAACTCTAAAAACAAGAAAACAATTTTAGAGATGCAAATCAAATATGCCCTAAGGTTCTCACCTTTGTTTGGTACCTGATAAATTCACGATACATGTTTATACCATACCAGGATAAGTGACAACAATTCTTAATTGACATGGAAGTGGGGCTCGATAGGATCCAAGTGGATTGGTATGGATTATAGTGCCAAGTGCAACGCCCCCAGACATGACTCCCCATGTGCGATGCCCCCCGATGCGACACCGCAGCTGCAAGCACCCAGTGCAACACCGCAACTGGGCGAAATACATCTCCATCACATTGGAAGTGATAAAATGGACTCTTCACCATAGGTGGACAAGAGTGGAACCAAAAAATTTTGGGGGCAACCTCAGCAAGACTCGCTACCCCCGCTGCAGGAGTCATATTCTCAACCTATTGGACACCATTGTTCGACTGACCTACTGGACTAAGAGGAGGGGTCTCCACCTAGGGACCGGGCAGTATGACCCTCCTCAAGGAAGAACTGAGCAATGAGGGCAGCTCGACTTGCTCGGGTACTATGCAATAAATACCCACATTACTTGTCCACTGCAGTGGATATTCTACCTGGTTGATGAGAGCATTTTACTCCACCTACCCTTCGCCTAATTTGTTGGTCTCTTCGTTAACAAGCTGTTCGAGTTTCTTCCATCCCATCTGCTTATCTTACTCCTTCCCTTTGAGTATCCATGGTATAGATACGTGTGACAACTTTTTTTAACTCTCCACCTACCTTCTTTTGGCGACTCCATTAGGGAGGTTTGTCCTCGTTAGCCTATGCCAGTTATAACTCAGAGTGGGTGTTGTCCAACACGATGACTAAAAATAGCAACGGCAAGAAAAACAAACAGAAAAAAGTTTGCCCCAACGCAAGGATAACCATGGTCCTCTACAAGCCAAAAGGCTCCTGAGGTGCCAAGGCCCTCCACAATGGCGCAGGCTCTTTGCGACATGTAGATTCAGCAACAACGGATTGTGCAACAGTGTAGATGATGCAAGTTCAGATGTACTTCCAATCAACTAGCTTGCAAAACTCACGAATGTTTACTGTTGCTCTCTTAATGCTCGATGTTATCACCTTCGGCTTTGCCAGTATCCTTGTCGATAGCGCTGTCAGGCGATAATGACGCATCACAAAAGCCAAGTCCTCATGGCTTAATAGTGCAGAATCTCACCAATGAACATCTACCACTTCTGTCACAAGCTGCTGCAAGTGACCCCTTGGTGCCCTTGCAACAAGCCACCATAAGCGGTCCTTTAGTGTTCTTATAGCAAACCTCTACAACTAGCTTTTTAAAGCTCCTACAGCAAGGGGCTGTACTTGGCCCTCAAACTATCACAACCCTTGAAGTGCCTAATGTAGCCAGACTTGCAACCACAATCGACGCACCTTTACTAAGCCCTGTGGTGTCTTTCGGATGTGAACACATTGCAACCAGTTACAACAAATGGGCCCCCTCACAATCTCTACAACAGTGCTAACAACCACTCAATTGTGGGGGCAAACTATTTTTCCCACTAGTCCTACAACTATGCCTTTGCATTTTCAGTCCCCAGCACCTAGTGTTGGGTATGTCACACTGGCCCAAGTCTAGGCTCTATTGGATAGATGGAAGGAGCCCATGCCAACTATCATGGACGTAAGTTCCAAGTTTGTCCTGGCGGTGCATTAAGCCATGTATCCTATGGGGTACTCGTCGTTGAAGTTTAAAAAGTTTGATGGAAAAAGTGTCAGTCCTTGTGACCACATTACTCGCTATATTGATAGTCTCGGCCATAGTATCAAAATCGTATGATTCACGAATCTATTTATATGATTCACAAATCGATTTATATGATTCGGTTCTATACAAGTACAAAACGATTCGTATCTTATATGAGAATTATTTTAGAGTTGAATCGCACTTGAATCGTATGATTCATACGATTCGATTCGTATCTCACGAATCACACGATTCAATCACTTTTTTTAAAACCCAAATTTTTTACAAAATGACGTAGTTTTGTCCGCTAAATAGTAAAACGACGTCATTTTGTTTACAGAAGAATCCACTCCCTAATAAAACTCAACCTCTTTGATCGTTCTCTCTCTAACGTTGTCTAAAGCTTGCCTTTCGTTGTCTCAAGCTAAACGTCGTGGCTAACGCTCTTGCATCATCGGTTAATTTTTGAATAGTTTGTTAGATTCTAATTTTTTGTTTCAAAATGTTGGCAATATATTTTCTCCCAATAAATTTTTTTATTTGTTCTTTTTCTATTCATGTTTGTAACCTTATCTATACTAGGTGCCACTATTTTGATTCTTGAATAACCAAGATTTTTTAATGAATTCTTTTTTAAGTTGTTGAATTTGAAAATTGTTAAATAAAAGAAGAAAATGAAGTAAAAGACTAGTGTCTTTTCATTTAGACGATTTGATTATGTCAATTGATTATTTTTAGAATGCAATAATATTAAATATTAAATATTTTGTCTATTTTAAATATATAATATTATTTTTTATTTTTGTTCAAATTTTGTGTTGAATCTTATGATTTACGATTTGATACGATTCATGACTCTCAAATTTATGATTTCGATTCATGATATGAATCGCGATTTGACAACTATGGTCTCGGCCACTATGTGCTCCACGAGCCCCTTCGGATGAGGGAATTTTTTAAGTCCCTCAAGGATAGAGCCTTCACTTGGTACGCCAACCTTCTAGCAGAATTTGTGCGAAATTGGGACGAACTGGTCTCTCGGTTTCATGCCAAGTTTTTCCATGTTGAATAGTTTACAACAATGCTATCCCTGGCAAAGATCACCCAAAATGGTGGAGAGACCGTGATGGCATACATTGATAAGTTTCGTGACAAGACCATTGAGTGCTAGAAAAATGTCACCAATCTTCACTAGGCTTTTTGAGTCTTCCCAAAGACTTTCAGAGGTGATTTAACCCATCATTATGGTGAGGTCTTGAAAAGATAAGAAGCGGACTACAAGGGCTAATAGAAAGACTAAAGTGCAATAGAAAGATTTCCTCGACAAAATATTTTATCTACATGGGTTTATCTTAGCGACATGAGCTACGATTGTACCGCATTGCGAAGAACCTTTATTGTTACATTTAGTCATACATGGGACACTAGTTGTCCCTGGAGAGGAATATTGCGACGAGTGGCATGGTAACGGTGGTTCCAGAGGACAACATCTTTCCCTTGACTCAAAACTTTAGCCAAGGCAAAAGTTACCTCCTTGTCAATCCTCCACAGAGGGAACATCAATGGCCAAATCAACCCTCATGTTCTCACCCACATGCTCTCACCCAAAGAAGGGCTCGAGACAGTATCCTCGACATGAAGGACGTCATCAGGCACCGGAGGAACGAAAGGCTGGTAATGGCATCATAACTTGCATTACCCTCCTTAATCACTGATGGTTAATTTAGATCTAGCGCAACCTTGGCTACCTGGTTGGCGAGTGAACTTGAAAAATGGAAGACGCTCAAAAGGTTTGGAACGAGATGAGTATAAGCATAAATATGCTTGGGAACATACTAATGATTGAAAAAAATTACATCGCCTAGAGGTCCCCTTGCTGCAAGGACATCCTAGACCCTCCCTTGGAAACTCTTCATCCGCAGGTGTAGTCTTATCTCTCCGCGAGCCTCTAACATCCAAATTCAGAAGGTTGGGTTCACCCTTATCTCCAATTGGTTATATCATAGATTGACTGGTGCTGGCACGAATAGAAGTAAATAGCCCCTTAGAATTCTCAGGTTCCTCCATTAATGTGTGCTTGGTCGAGACTGAGAAATACCTCCTAAGGGCCCTTCTTGGCAAAGACAGTACTCAAGGGCTCTTGGTCATCATCATCTACGCTTAAAACCAACAACACTTACTCTTTGGAAATAGCGTTGCAAAGACCATCAAACTAAGTTTTTTAGACCTTTTTGATCTTTTTATCAACGAATCTTTATTCATGGAGTTGACTCCATTCCTCTAATGGCTCTATGAAGGACCACCCATGGAAGGAGGAGTTAGTTGTAGAGGATGATCTTTTGTGGCAAAAATACTGAGTCCCACCTTTATCGGAATATTGAGTCCAAAATCACTATTTGTAAGGGATAGATTTTTGATGGATGCGATAGCTGAGATGACTGACATGATGATTGAACTGATTGTTGCGCATCACGATCGCCATGTGTCGCGAATTGGGAGCATGAAGAGTCATGGTTGGGGTAATGGATCAAAATTTTAGAGGCCTCCCACAATAGACTTGTGTGCAGAGAAGGAAACAACATTAGGAGTCTAAGGTTCACATTTGCACAGAGCATGGCGGGAGGACAAACTAACCTACGAAAAATTTTGGGTTGACTGAAGTGTCTGCTGCGTTGACTGAAGTTTGGCCTGGACTAAACTGAAGTGGTTGGATTGGACTGGACTGCATAACCTGAATTGTGTTGGACTGCACAACTGATTGGATTGCACTGGATTGGGCTGGGCAGTTGTATTGGATAAGACTGAATTGGAAAACTGAGTTTTCACATCTACACAAAGCATGACTGATGTCGGAGCCCTCTCAAAGCGTGGAGATCAAACTTCATCCACTGCTAGAATCGTAAGAAGCGAGATAATGGGTCTAGCACCGTAGAAGGTGTTGGCACCTCAGAAGGGGTCAAGCACAATGGAAGGTGTCGGGCATCGCAGAAGACATTAAGCACTGTGTAGGAAGGGACACTTACCCATTATAGTGGAAGCAGCAGGATGGATCTTTGTCCAATAGGGCAAGAGTGGCTTGCAAGCATACTGTCACAGAAATGGTAAACGGATCATCATCCCAGAGATGAGAATAGCACCGCGAACATAGTGACATAGAAATGTTTAATAGATCCTCGTCTAAGAGACGAGAGTGGCATTGCGAGCATATTACTGCGTGAATGGTAAACGGATCCTGATTAAAGAGACGAGAATGGCATTGTGAGTATACTACCACGGGAATGATTGGGTCCTCGTTCAAGAGATAAGAGTGGCACCGCGAGCATAGGGTCGCGGAATGGTAAATGAATCGTTGTCCAAAAAGGCACGAGTGGCTTGCGAGAAAATTGTCGCGGGAATAGTAAACAGATCCTTGTTCAAGAAACGAGAGTGGTGTCGCGAGCTTAGTGTTGAAGGGACATGTAGTTTTTGAGAGTCACGGTGGCCTAGGTGTCTCGATTTTTGAGGGATCGTTGTCACCAAAGTGTCTTGGTTTTTGACGTAGGTGGCGACGGTTGGGGTAGTGGTGGCATCTAAGGTGGGCGTAACAGCCGAGATAGTGGCAGCACCCAAGGCGTGTGCATCAACCGAAATAGTGGTGGCAACTAGGGCGGGCACGACAATCGAGGTAGTGGTGGTAACTAGGGCTGGCACGACAACCGAGGTAGTGGTGGCAACCAAGAGATAGCAACGTCACCTAAGGTTGGCACGACAATTGAAGAGAAACATGAAGGCCGAGATTGGCATGGAAGCCAAGGTGGGCACAAAACTCAAGTGATTGTGGCAGTTGAGGAATGGCCATTGCAAGAACTTGGAAAGGAAAGAGGCAAGGCACTTAAGTGAAAATATAGTGGAGGAGAGAGTAAGGGAGAACACTTGAGAAATGGAGAAAGGAAAAGGAAATGGGAAATGAAAGAAATGAGGGGTAGTGGTGGCAACTAGAGATGGTGACATTGCCCAAGTTTGGCGCAGCAACTGAAGAGAAACATGAAGGTTGAGACAGGCATGGTGGCCAAGGTGGGCATAAAACTCAAGTGATCACAGCAGTCGAGGAAATGGTGTTGCAAGAAACTTTGAAAACAAAGAGGCAAGACACTTAAGTGGAAAAATGGGGGAGGAGAGAGTAAGGGAGAACACTTGAGAAAGGGGGAGAGGAAAAGGAAATGGGAAGTGGAAGAAATGAGGGGTAACGATGGCAACCGAAGATAGTGGTGCTGCCCAAGGTTGACGCAACAACTGAAGAGGTACATGAAGGCCGAGATTGGCATGGCGGCCAAGGTGGGTACAAAACACAAGTGATTGCGACAGTCGAGGAAATGACGTTGCAAGAAACTTGGAAAATAAAGAGGCAAGACACTTAAGTGGAAAAATGGAGGTGGAGAGAGTAAGGGATAACACTTGAGAATGGGAAGGTAGGGAGGAAAAGGAATTGGGAAGGGAAAGAAATGAGGGGGAGAACCTTCATTTATAGACATTGAGGAGGGTGCGACACTTAAGGTGGGTTTGACAACCCATAAGTTGCGGGTTCCAAGGCAAAAGGGGGAGATGTTGTTGTGACAACCACTAGTCTCGAGGTGTCATTGTAAATTTAGGGGTCGTGTCGTTGTGATGGCAAGGTACGTTAAAATGTTGGCGATAGTTGTTCTATCAGTTGCGGATCATGAGGGGAAGGGGACACAGTCTCCCCTGACTCGCAGTTTAAGTAACCAATCTTCAAAGAGGTGTGGTCTTTGAGGAAGTAGGCAGTTCGATTGAACAAGTCAAGCTTAGCCATTACTTGTGCCAGGCCTCTAGTCCGCATCAGTCCAAGTCGCCATTATGTCCTAACAATATCAATGACTGTCGTTTTCGTAGGATGTTACGTTTGGGAGTACTTAGAGGTCACGACAGTTAGCTCCAGCACCCCTTTCTGTCAATTTGCAAAGAGCCCTTCCAGTCACACTTCCTTGACCGCAACAGCTCATCAAGTGGGTCCCCGTTGTTAGCTAAGCCATCCTAGTAGAACCCCATGCATAAGCAACCATCAAGGTGGGTCCCCACGGTCAATCATCCATTCCAAGGCCATGGTCAACACGTCTAGTGCTTGGTCTTCGTGCTCGGTGCTTGGTTAAAGCGGTAGTCACAATAGTACTCCTCAGTTAAACCTCCTAACCTCGGTCAAATGCGTGGACCAACGGTTAAATGCGTGGACCACTACCAGTAGCATCACTCCGCGAGCCTAGTAGCCGAACTTGATTCTTTGCAGCAGTTAACTTCAGTCTTAGGTCTATTTGAATGCATTAAATGCATTAACTTCGGTCACAAGCCAACAAGTTAGCAAGTCGCGACAATTAATCTTCAAACCAAAGGACAATAACTCAAATGGTGGGTCCCAGACAATTTAAGAAATGGAGTTGGCGGAGGAAAGTTTAGAAGTTAAACTAAGATGCATTGAAATGGTGGTGGGGTCCACAATTTTAGGAAGTTTCAAATGTGATTCATAAAGAAAGTCACGAAGAATACATGAAGTGCCAAGTTGGACATTAGACACTCCAAGCTTTCGGTCAACATGCCATTCACTCGGTCAACAGGCCATGCACTCGGCCAATGCAACACCTATCACCTCGCGACACCAGTCAACCGCGGTCGGCTGTCATATTGCATTAAAAGAAATGGACCATTTTTATTGGCGATTTTCTTGGCTCAATGGTAGTCAAGGTTTTCGAGGAAATAATGGGCAATTTTACTTGCGATTTTTGAGGCTCAAAGGCAGTTAACATTTTCTATCCTGAGTGGTACAAGGACACAGGGACCTAACTCTGAATTGCGTTAGTCATTTTCAAGACTGTTATGCATGCAAAGGTTGTCACAAGGAAAGCCATTGCATACTGGGGGCAACTAGGCATGACAATATTTTCAATAATGGAGAAATGACGATAGAGGGACAGTTCTTTTGACAAAGGAGAAAGGACGACAGAGGACATGTGCTTATTTTATGAATTTTTTGTTATTTTTTAGCGACATCATAGTTGGCTTTCAAATGATAGTTACAGTCAAAAGACAGGTGCATACAGGTTACAGTGTGTACATGCAGGACGTAGGAGGCAAATGTAGTACCTAATATATTCAAGACATGTGTATATACCATAACAAGACAAGTGGCATCAATTGCTGATATGGAAATAAGGGCCAACTGGTTCCTGCTAGATTAGGATGGATAACAGTGTCAAGTGCACCACTCCATGTGTGACACCCCCCAGGCACAACACCTAAGGTGCGATGCCCCTAGGTGCGACTCCCCATGTGCGATGCCCCCAGGTGCGACACCCCATGTGCGAAGCCCCTAGGTGCGATGCCCTCGGCGCAACACCGCAACACTGCAACACATCACTATCACATTAGAATTGGCAAAATGGACCCTTTACCAAGGGTGGACAAAAGTGGAACCGTAGAAGTCTAGGGGCAATCTCAACGAGACTCGCCTCCCCTATTACGGGATTGATATCCTTAACCTAATAGAAATCATTGCTCGACTGGACCACTGGGCTAAGAGGAGGGGTCTCCACCAGTGGACAAGGCAGTATGACCCTCCTTAAGAGAGAATTGAGTAACGTGAGTGGACGAGCATAATTGTCAACCTTGACTTGAGATTTTGAAGGTTTAGTCTGCTTGAGCAGACCATCTAGTGTATGACTCACTCTTCATTGTGATGTGCTTGACTGGGATCCAGAAGGACTCCTAATGTAACTAAGGTTATTGGTTCGGAGCATCATATAGAATAATGGGGCATGTGGATTGGTGGTTGAGAACTGAAATTTTTTGAATTTCCTCTATTGGGCACCTCGACAAAGTCTCGAGGAAGGGTTCAGAGAGAGAAGGGAGGACCTTATGTAGGAGCGCACTGGGGGTATCACGTACATGGCCCTCTCGAGGTCGTGGACCCGCGGTGATCGTGATCAGTTGCGATTATTAACTTTGGGAGACCTCTTTCACCTCGGTTGTTGCACCCTGCCTGGACCTGTATCTAGGATGCGTTTGAGAAAATGTCACATCGGTCTAGTTAATATTGGGAGACGTGACTTGCATTAGCGATTACTAATATTGCCGCGGTCGAGATAATTATGGATTGGTGCGAGTGTTAGGAGGTTACGGTGGGTAGCCCGACCTGCTCGGGCACTGTGTTATAAATACCCACATTATTTGCCCACTGCAGAGGATGATATTTCTACCCGGCTAGTGAGAGCATTTTCAGTCCACCTACCCTCTGTCCAACTGGTTTGGTCGCTTTTGTTAACAGGCTTTTCGAGTTGCTTCCATCCCATCCGGTTGTCCTACTCATCCCCCTTTGATTACCCTTGACATAGACACGTATGACGGCCTCTTTTAACTCCCCATTTACAGGTATTATTCATACTAACTTGAATGTAAAGACAAATACCTTCTATGTCATAACTCTACAAATAAGAAAAATTATTCCAACTAACCCAGTAGTTCAATGTCAATTTGAAGGCCATGACCAAGTGAGGTCCTTTAAAAATGAGTACCAGGAGTGGGGGACTTCGTAGAAATCTCTACGCATTCACATTATTTGCACAACTTGATTGTCTACTTGAGCTTTTGTAACACTACTACACAATGGGCCATAGTCTTTGCCATTTCGAGTAGAACATATTGTTGTGAGAGTTGTTTCCCTTGATGTTTCAATAACATACCGGTAAACATTAAAATGGCGAAGCTAAACTTGCATAAATTGTAAATGAACACTCTGACCATAGATCAGTTGCATTTAGTGTAACAACCTCATATCAATTCCATACTAATCAGAGCACTAATAATCTCAATAATAAAATTTATTTTTACAAAAATATTACTTCCAAAATATATGGCATATACAAAATTTAAAGCCAAAAATGTAAAGATTACAAACTTTGCCAACTAATGACATAATTTGTCATTTGTGTTCCCATACTTCTAGTTAACTTACTTTAACTGATTCGACATTTCACTTTAACCTGCAATTGAGGAAGGAATAATGTTGGTGAGTTTGGAAGCCCAGGAAGAATAAATCCGCAATACGACGAGTGTACAAATAATCAAGTATCAATTTTTGACCAGATTGACATAAGCATCAAATATATTATCAGTCACATATTTGATTTTGTCAGTTCGGACCTTTATTTGAGTTCATTAGCTCGGACCTTTACCAGATTTGACTCTGCTGGCTTGGACCGATTCAGTATACTCGAAGAGTATGAATTGAAATATCAGAATGATAACATGTAAATCAATTAGAGTACGAAACTGGAATAATCAAATGAAGCACTCTTTGCAAAGAGATTGTGAATAACCCACTTACTGAATCCTCAATTGACACTGATATATCTCCTTATTTTTGTATCAATAACATACTCCATTTTGATAATAATTGGAGTGGAGATCACATTTTGATTGATCTATTGAGCTCACAATTTTCACGTCACAAATGTTCTTTTTATATTTTTCCTATTCTTTAACTCATGGTCCTTTCCTTCCAATTCACATAAGCCAAATATCATATCATATCATATATATGTACCAACCTTGCTTATATTGACGGCAACACACGGCCATGCACATAGCCTTGTCACCTAAGGTGGACCCTTGTCCACTTATTACTTTTCTTTCATTTTATTTCCTTCTTATTATCTATCTAATTCCTCACCACTACACAATAAATATATATAACCTACTTGTCACAAGACACAGTGATAAAAAGATTTGTTTAATTGTCTTTTGCACCTTGTAAAGCATAATATTTGTAATTTAACCCTCAACTTGTTTCTAATATTTTAAATAATTACATTGTGACCTTAAATTACATTTCTACAATTTGAAATAGTAACAATTGCACTTACTCAATCTTAATTTCATTAGGAACATACACCTAGTCCTCCTTAATTAGTAGGGTGTTCACTAATCCTCGTATTACTTGTGAATAAAGACAAATCGTAATAGAAGTAACAATTTTTGAAAAAGACTAAAATACCATCTGTTTTTGTTCCACTTTTCTTTGTTATGCCTTTCATTCCAAAAACTTAGTCAAAGAAAAATGGACCTGCATCCGGAGCACACCCCCTTCCAACCACCATCGTAGCCCCATCCCTACAAATTCCTCCCCAGAAAACTATACCAGAAACCCCCATACAAAAAAAACTGAGATCCAGAACCAAGATCCTGTACTCATATACTCCCACACATCATTCCTTTTCCTTGACCTAACTGGGAGAGAAACATCTAAGCTTTGCCCCTCTCGTTTCCTATAGATCCACCTTTCCTATAGCTAATCCTCCCACAGCCACTTGGCACCAGCCTAAGACGGCGAGGGATATCACCCCTTATGGACGCCATCCTCGATCAACCCAAAGAACCAAAAAAAAAAAAAGGGGTCCATGGAAGGATCCTACATGGACACTATAGCGGAGGTCAAAAAATCTTCAAAAAAAAAATGTTGGTTCCTTCACGACCTCAACTATACCCAATCATAGTCATTTAATTTTTTAAGTTGTAATCAAGGATCAACATTTCGTTTCGAAACGGTCAAAACATTCGAAACGTTTCCGTTTCCAAGGAGACCAAAACGAAACAGTGATGAAATCGAAATTTTAATATTTTGAGGTGTTCTATAATGTTTCGAAATGTTTTGATATATTTCAATGCATTTACACAATTGTTTCAAAATGTTTTAAAATATTTCAAGATATTTTGGTATATTTCAAACTAATATTTAAAAAAAATAATTTTAATTTTTTTTTTTTTCATTCTGTTTCCAAAATGAGTTAAAATGTTTTCGAAATACGTTCAAACATTTCCATTTCCTAAATGACCAAAATAATGTAGTGAAATAAAATTTTGATTATTTGTTGTAATGACTAAACTGGGAATCAGATACCTATCAAAGTCTCGGATTAATGATTCTACCAAATCCAAGGGGCTCATATCCAAACATCGAACTCTTTAGACTCGAAAGGCCTCAACCACCCTCAATGACAGACATTTTCCAACTTCACGCACATAATAGACAACTCTCAACTACGCCTCTTAACGTTCGTGATGAATTTAAAAAAGGGCTTACAAGAGGAAGTGGCTCGTGAGGCTGGCGAGAGAAAGAGAGAGGAGTTGCAGTAGGAGAAGCCGTGGCTACAAGAACTTTTATCAGCCTTTTTTGTTTTTTATCATGTCTTTTTTTGGGGCAAATTTAAAGAAAGGGAAAATTGTCTTCTTTAAGATAGATAGCCATCTCATTCACATCACACGCACTTTGTATAGTACATGTGACTCGGACACTATCAAAATTGACTTGCTTTTCTTATATTTGCACTTTATTCACAAGTAGGAGGGGTCTGGTGAAACCCATAGTAGTTGCGGAGATGTTGTGGAATCGACCCTAAGTTCATGGGTTTGTGTGTAATTAACCCCAAAAACTTGTCCGAGCTAATTTTTCGTGCATTGTTGCACAACAAAGCTTAAGAAACTTACTAGACTGGATTGTTGTGTTGCTGTAAGATATGGCACCAATTTTGTGTACAATAGATAATTTAAAACACACTCTCAATTGATGTGAGACAAGTTTATTGTAGTACTGTGCTCCTGGGCAACTTTGCTCTGTGAAATGGTTATCGCACTTTTAGGCATATAGATTTTCCATTTGATGATAATGGCCTAAGCCAATTGCTATAGCAAGAAAATAACTCCATAAAGTAGGCTTGTATTTGTTCTTATATCTGACATACTAGATCTTGAAGCAGTGAACTGGAAGTGTTCCTTTTCCATCCATCCTAGACATTACCTATAACATTATGATTTTTAACCATATCGATAATCTAATGCGATTCTTTATTTAATTGCAGAATGTAGACTTAAGTTCTCATATTCTTTTGTTGTTATGTCTTGTTGTTTACAATGGCAGTCAACTGAAAAGCTCCTCATTTTAGATTTAGATTTAAGTTCTCATATTCTTTTATTGTTATGTCTTGTTGTTTACAATGGCAGTCAACTGAAAAGCTCCTCATTTTAGAATTTATGAATGGGATTCGTTTAAATGACTTTGAAGCACTGGAAACATTGGGTGTTGACAAACAAAAACTTGTTGAAGAGATTACACGTGCATATGCGCACCAAATATATATTGATGGATTTTTCAATGGTGACCCTCATCCTGGTACTCATCTCTCTCTATAGCTTCACTTCCACCACCAGATTTTTTTCGGAGCTTTTTGGTCATCAAGCTATAATTAGTCACATGTTATTTCCATTACAACATGGGGATTGTTCTTGAAAATACTCATTTGAAGTATTCATTGGGTGAGTTTTCAGGAAATTTCCTTGTTAGCAAGGAACCTCCACATCGTCCAATTTTGCTCGACTTTGGGCTTACAAAGATGCTATCAAGCTCTATGAAGCAAGCTTTAGCAAAAATGTTTCTGGCATCTGCTGAGGTTTGTATGACTCCTTGAGTATGATTAAATTGTATTGAGCCTCACTCCATGTGGACACATGTCCATTGGCAAGATAACCTAGATATTCTAAACACATGATAAGAAAAGAAATAAAGCATGTCATGTCACCAAAGATTTGTGTCGAAGTTCAAAGGTCAATGACTCCCAAAAGAACAAATGAAATGGCTAGGCATGTAACATTACCTGGAAGTACAACGATACTGCTAGCTTTTTTTGTTGATAAGTTGGGCCTTTTTACTAAGGTGTCTAACTTGTTTCAACCGACATAGCTATCTGTGGAGATAGTTTCCTAAGTTGCCTCATCTAGCCATATGCCAAAGTGGCATGTTCTTAGGTGGATCACCCATGATCCACTCTTCGTAGCTGATCCAAATTAGAGTTAGGAAGCACTTATTCGGATAGGAGATATGAGTATGATACAAGATGGAAACAACGATGCAACTAAACTGAGAAAAAAATAAGATACAGGTACAACCAAGACACGTCTATGATGAAAATTTGTTTATATTGTCATTATTATCTGATGATTAAATAACTACAAATTTCAGTAAATTCTTTGATAGAATATTAAAAACTAAGCAAATTTATCATTTCCGAAAGGTATATATTGTTCATCATGGTACACCATCAAAATAGGCATGACTAATTAAAGGAACTAGGACTGACATGCCAAGAGTTGGTTTGCTTAGAAGTAGTTGCCAAGAGATGGAGTGTAATATGGTCATTTTATGTCCTTTTGACACATTGTAGTAGATAAATATGAGTATTATTCAAGGTGCGAGGGGCACTAAGGTGCCAAAAGTTCCCTAGGTTCTCATCACATTTTTCATTTTTTCCATTAGCTCACCTTAGTTCAGATAAACGAAGCTCTTTAGTACGGAAGCAAACTCTGACATCTCAACTTCTAAATTTATGTAATGCCAATCCATATGAATCATAACAATAATAAACCATTTAGCTTGTAATTTCACAAGTTTAGTACTTTACAAAATCGGAGCTAACTGTTCACTTCATAGTGTAAATTTGTGTACTCCATAAGTAGAGAACATGTTGTAGTTCCTGGAGGGGAAACTCGATGTGAATCTTCCTTCATGATTATACACGTGGAGACTAAGACACTTAAACTAAGGGGGTAGTTTCAATTTTAACCCAAATCAATTACAAATTAAAACATATATCTATCATAATTACCTCTTCTCAATCGAATATGAAAATTAACGATGAGAACCTCTTTAATTACCAACAACCCTTAACACCCATGACCATTGATTAAATTAATATGCAATTAATTCGTTCAAATCAATCTCACGGTGATCCCAAATTTCACAAAACTCAATTTGCACAACTATGGATGCTATGATATCAAGCAATCACAATATTAAACACATAGTGCAGGTGTGTGCTCACAATTGCAAGTGTGTATACTAATCAATAAGAGATGCAATTTGGTGACACAGAAAACCCTCCTCGGTAAAAACTGCGGGGAGTCACTCGGGGTTCACCAACGCATAATCCACTACGCGTCAAGTCAATACACAAGTACTCGAGTCTTATACCTCAACTAATACCCATGACTAGATGCTCCTTTCCTTATTATATCTCTTTACTGAAACTCCCTCTTCGACGTCTGGTGTAATTTTACTTAGACCTCCTTGCCACACAGTTCGTCTAGGCCTCGAGCGATTATGAGTTTGCTAATAATCTTTGGTACACAGACACCAATGAGTTTGTTCACCAACAAAATTTTCTACTCTATGTTGTGAGGATGGAAAGAATTACTAGTGGTAGCCTTTGGATTCTTAGGGATCTTAGTTGTGGTGGAAGCTTTTAAGGTTGAAAGAACGATTTTTTATCTATCTAAAGGCTTTCTCAAGGTTTAACTTAGATGTGAGAAAGACATTCCTTTTTTATAATTTTGGAGTAAGGATAGTCTTAATGAGTAAGAAAACTTAGCTTCCCGAATGAACGCTCGATCGGTGGGAGGGCGGTCATGGGGTGGTTGTCGCTAGAGTAAAAACTGCGTTCCAATCTCGGCTAAGGCAAGTATCGCTCGAGCGACCATGAGCACCACTCGAGTGAGCTTTTAAAGCGAGCCCTGTGTTGCTTTTTATGGCCTTTACCCCTTTGTTCTTCTAAGTCATCAAGAGACTGTTCTAGCAAAGGTTAGCGAGTATAGGGCAGTCCCTATAGGTTTTTTAATCCTAAAATCATACAAAAATTTCTCCTCTCGAGCATTAAAGGGTATTCCTCGAAGAAGGTTCCGATTGTGACTCAACCTATGTTTTCAAAGCACAAAATTGGTTTAGAAAAACTTTTCTTTAAAAATTCCAAGGGGTCATAATCGAATCGCTTTCAATTCCATTTTTCATCCTACTCACCCTAAGTTAAAAATAACTAAGGGATAATCTTCGGTGTCTAGGTTATTATCTTTGTCCTAAGCATGAAGGTGCATATGGAGGTTGAGTAATGTAGCTTTGATACTTGATCTCCTCCTTTTAATGAAGCTTTCGTATCTTGAGCTTGATTGTATCATTACTATGGAAGTGGTTGAGATTTTACAACGGATTCCACGAAATTAGCCAATTACAAAATATGATCTAACACATGCTTCACAGGTCAAACACCACCAAAGAGATGTCTTAGAAGTCTGAAGCAACAATCCACGACCCTATATATGATTTAATCACCCGTAGACAAGTTTACCAGCATCCTATTCTAGAGAGGTGAAGGTTAAACAAGGCTTTGCGGTACAAAGGGTGTTGGGGCATATCTCATGTTTGAGGTGGTGGGCTTGAGTGCCATTAAAATGACTAAATGGCTAAAAATTGATTGTAATATTTATTCTGGTACTTATAAGCACCAAAACGAAAATAATATACAAATACCATCACTAGTACTCTTATCATGACTCGATTAACAAGTATTTACTATCTCATCAAAAAGTCCAAATTTTTTTGGAAATAGTTACTATCGTGGCTTAGAACCAATTGTCATTAGGGTATGGAGCATGACTGGCCATGGAAGGCTAACATGGAATTAAATGTGTTGTCACTTGTTTATGATTAATGATTTTCTTAGCGGAAACATCTGTGATTACATATTATTTACTTGTAATAATAATATATATATATATCCTATACAATCACATTTGGTCAGAGCAACCCTACCAATATCTCATTAACAACTAATATAGTTGTTACAACTCATAACATCCATCGGGCATTTATACGACGCATGGCTTTTACATACCAAAAATAACTTTCCGAAAATGTCATTAACAACTTTTACACATAACCACCAAAAGATTGTCGTATAAACAGAACCCTTGAGCTTAGTCCCCTTCACTTGAAAAAGTTTTAGAAAGAAAGAGTGAGCAATGTCCAACGATGTCCAATGAATAATTCCTATGCCTTGTAATGATTTTCAAGTAAAACATGTAACATTTCCATGGATACAAATATTCATATCAAATAGCATCATAAGATTTTCATGACAAGTTTATGAATATAATTTTTTTTTAGAAAAAACCAACATATCCAAATAACCCATAGAAATACCATTGATTCCCATTATTTTTCACATGTTTATGAATATAATGGCAAAGATATAATCAGTCATCTAACATGTCAACGGGCCATTCCCATTCTTATTTTGATCTCTTCGGATTTGACCTATTGGATTGGATCTAAATCAAATTTGAGTCCGCCGGCTTGGACCTTTACCGTATTTGAGTCCCCTACCTATTTTAGCATTGCATTTGATAGCATTTAGAACAAATTTAGGTATCAAAATTCCAGTCCATGGTATAAAATTTCTCACGTTAGTTCTTAACTAGACTCTTTATAACTCTTGACTCCCTTTAACAAATCCCACACCTATTTCATTTACAGTACTTTTATTGCGCAACACATAGGTAATTCTTCTTATTCGTAAGGATCAAAATTTGATTTCGAAACGGTAGGAACGTTCGAAACGTTTCTGTTTCCAAGGAGACCGAAACAAATCATTGATATAATCAAAATTTTAATACTTCAAGGTGTTTTATAATATTTCTAGGTGTTTTGTAATGTTTTAATGTATTTACACAATTGATTCGGAATGTTTCAAGGTATTTCAAGATATTTTGGTATATTTCGAACAATGTTTTAGAAAATTAATTCTTAAATTTTTATTTTTTTTATTGTGTTTCCTGAACGGGTCGATACATTTTCGAATCACGTCGAAATGTTTCTGTTTCCTTAGTGTCCAAAACAATGCACCAAAACAAAATTTTGATCCTTGTTCGTTAAGTACTTAATATGTTGATTATTGATCCCTAATGATTGTCATCATGTACTTATTGTTATTCCTCTTTCTTCTCATTCCAAATAATAGGAAAGACATTAATTTCAGTCCTTTAAGCCTCTTGGTCAATACGTCTAATGTTTCGGTTTTAGTCCCATTTAAAGTTTTCATTTATGCATTATTTTCATAATTTGTCAGATTAGACCTTTGTACTTTAAAAGCTTCATAAACTAACTTATACAAGCTGAAACTTCACAAGGCCAGTGACAAATAATAGACTCATAAGAACTTCATTTCCACAAAAAATTACTATTTTTGGAGATCAAATACATGTTCAAAATAACTTGTAAAATCGAGCATAAGTTACAGATTTTCAGGTTTCAGCATGTCAGGATTAACTTTAGAAATTCACCAAAATTCAAGTTTTCATCCTTTTTGGATGAAACCAAAGCCAAAAGAACCCTTTACTAGTCTATTTCAAACCCTCATAGTTTAATAATCATCGACCAATTATAACTCATAAATGATCCGGAAAACACCTGCTATCCAAAATTGCAGAAATTTTAAAAAGTGTTAAAACTCTGTTATTAACAACCCGAAGGTTCATATCATGTGAAATACCCATAGCCTTATAATTAAACTACCTAGAACATGATTCCTTATTTACTTTTCCTTTCTTGATGGTTATTGACTAATTATTTCTGATTAGAGTAAAGAGTACATACTTAAAACCAAGAATCATATCTTGTTTGAGAGTAATTTCAAGCCCTAGATTACTTCCTTAAACTTTTTCCTCTCTTTTCTTCCTCTTTTTCTCCTTTTCTCTTGCTATTCTCTCATTCTCTACATAAGCACCTCTTTCTACACACAAGCTCTCATATATATATATATATATATATGAGACTTGTAGTTCTTAGAGCTTTCTCTCCATTTGAGGTGTCTTCATCTAGCACTTTCTCTCTCTTACTCTACAAAAACACCTCTTTCTATACACAAGTTTTACTTTGAAAAGTCAACAATGGTGACTTGATTAGCTAGGCTAATCTTTTAATTAGACATTTCTAAACTCAATTCACTAAAGTTAATCCATATGATTAGGGTCCTTAATTAACTCAACATTTGGTATATACCCCATATGTTCATGGATCCAACATGTATAATTCCAAACCCAAAGAACTATCAAAACATCATAGCATGCACGTGTATAAAGTATACCATTAGTATGACAGTTATTGTCTCTTTGCTATATATTTACGAGTCTAATTATGCTTACCAATTTGCTTTCATTTAATACTCCATTCTCAGTTCTTTTGGAAGTGGTAATTCTGTGTGATCACATTGCGTACATGTTTAAACCTGTTGGGTGGTATTGTTATATTGGTCGTACAATTGATTCCATCTGTTCTTGTTGGGTGTCCAATAATTAAGATGCTAGTTCTTGCAGGGGGACCATGTGGCACTCCTGTCTGCATTTGCAGAAATGGGACTTAAGTTGCGTCTTGACATACCGGAGCAAGCCATGGAGGTAACAAATGTGTTTTTCCGTACTTCAATGCCCGCAAAGGAAGCACTTGTAAGTATGCACTGTTTGCTTGTCAAAAATTTCTGTTCAGCTCTTCCAGCTTTTATGTCACACTGATTGTTTTGTTTGGTTAAGGAAAATACAAAATCTTTGGTTGAGCAAAGGACCAAAAACTTGAAAGCCCTACAGGGAAAGATGAAGCTCAACCCAAAAGAAGTTAAACGTTTTAATCCCGTAAGTGCATGTACATCATCCTTATTGTTGTCTTTTTGACTGTCTGACTATTATATCCCTTATTAAGGAGTCTAATTATGTTTATCTACAGGTTGATGCTTTTCCCGGCGATATTGTGATATTTTCCCGGGTTGTTAATCTGCTTAGAGGTCTTTAATTCCTCTGTTTCTTGCCTAATTGTGTTGAACATTTGTGCGCTTCTGATACATTTCATGACATGGATTCAGGGCTTTCATCCACAATGAATGTTCGCGTAGTTTATTTAGATATCATGAGACCATTTGCGGAATCTATTTTAAAAGGGTAAGTCTTTTCTGAACTTAAGTTTGTTGGAGTCTTTGTCTACCGCATATCTCATTAAATTGTGGATTTATTTGTTTCAGTGACATAAACAAAAGACCAGCAATGAATGCACAATGGATACACAACATGCCTGTGCATTCTGATGTGGAGGCCAAGCTAAGGCAGCTCTTAGTTGAGTTGGGGAATGCTGAGAAAATACTTGGAATTCAGGTACATGCCCCAATGAAATCACATATACCAACCACCTTGCCACGAAGTTTAAAAATTCCACCTGTCCTTTTGAACAGAAATAATTAGCTCAATTAACCCAAACTCGTAGTTTCCTGATTGCTTCATCTGTTTATCACTTGGTTCAGTTTCATATTACCTTCTTGTTCTCTTTATGAGTAACTTGTTTGGCCTTACACTTTTGTAACGCCATTGTGTGGTTTTGTGAATTAGTAAGGCTAGTAGTCTACCTAATGTCTCTAGTTTCTGGGGTAGCAGACATGAAATATATGGCATAGAAGTTGAAATCTCAAGATGTGTTGTTTTAGGGTTTAGATTTAATAAGAGGTAAGAGAAGGAATGACAAGAGTAAAACAATTAGAACTAGGGTTGAGAAGAATGAGAGTTGTTATTACTCTCCTCATCACCCATATTTATATTAACTCATAATCAACTACAAATAAAAGTTGGTACGACTCCTTGGTGGGAATGAAAAGGCGGTACCCCAATCACAACACAAGGCATGTTCAATTGACAAAGCCTAGGAGGAGACTGAAGGAAGGCTGTTGTAATACACCGTTCCATTTTGGCAAGGAACTAGCTTAGAGAATATTATCTTGGAAGGAATAAAAAAAATTTTAAAGAAGAATTTAGAATAGTTTAGAATATTCTAGAATATTGGAGAAGTTTCTAGAAAAATCTAGAATAGTCTAGAAGATTCTAGAAAGTTCAAGAATAATCTAGAATAGTCTAGAATAATCTAGAAGTCTAGAATATTTTAGAAGGTTTTAGGAAATACTAGAAGGTTCTAGAGGGATTTAGAATGTTCTAGAAAGTTTCGGAAGGATTTAGAAGGTTGGAGAAGACTTTAGAATATTATAGATGAATCTAGATACTTGTGGAATTGTCATGTGTAAAATAAGTTGGAAACCTAGAAGGATCTAAGAGAGGGGAGATGGTAGAATATTCTAGGGAATCTCCCTAAATATGTTACATGTCAATATTCTCTAGAATAATCCTAGGATGCCTATAAATAGGGCATTTGAGGATTAAATTAAGGATAATAGGGCACAAGTAGTCTTCCACTTTCAAGAAAGAATAAAGAGTAAAAGAGAGAAGAAGGAAGGAAGAACACTTCATCAATGGAAATTGTGAGAAAAAGAGAAAAGACATCAATAACATCTCACTCTACTTCGGGTAACAAGCAACATTGAAGAAGCATATAATTCTCTTTGGACTTGAGGTAAACGATTGGAGTGTCAATAGCGGACTCAGAGAATTGATTGAGGACTAATAGTGTTGTGACCTCCGCCGTATAGCCCTCTTTACTTGCATTTGGATAATTGGGGCAAACAGGTTTAGGTATGTTGACTTTAACATATTAACATGAGATCAATTTAGTGTTAATGTTTTTTTTCAATCCTATATTATTAGTTTATTGTTAGGCTTACGTGTTCCATAGGTTATAGGTCTATGGTTCACGGCCAGTCATGCCCTTAGAGTTGGGGTGTGACAGTTGTTTAATCGGCCCTACATTCATTATTTTAGGAAGGAAGGAGATTAGGGCCGATCTTGACTATTACTATCGGGCTAGTTTACAGCTATGCCCTTAATTAAAATATCCTAGCATTTTGTGCTACCCTTAAGTTGGAGCATAAATATCTTTCATGTCCAACTTGCATACATCTAAATGGAAAATTCTACCACCAAGTCCTTTATTAAACCCAATTGCTACTTGGATGTAACAAAAGACATACAAATCAACCCATCCTTTTTCTTCTCTTTGATGAAGTGTTTGTCAATCTTAATATGCTTTGTTCTATTATGCTGAATTGATTGTGAGCAATATTTATGGCAGCTTTATTATCACAATACAGATGCATAGACTCACAATTAAAAACCCCCAAGTCTTTCATTAAGGTTTTCAGCCACATAAACTTTCAACTATCATGATCCATAGCCCTGTATTCTATCTCTGCACTGGATCTAGCAACCATTGCTTGTTTCTTGTTCCACCAAGTGATTAGATTTTGTTCTACAAAGGTGTAGTTACTTGTAGTAGACCTCCTATCATCAATTGAGCCTGCCTAATCTGTATCTATGAAGACTTTTAATCTTAGGTGATTTTGTTTTGAGAACAATATTTCTTTGTCTAGAGACGACTTAAGGTACCTCAGTATACGATGAATTGTCTCTTGATGGGGAAGTCGAGGAGCATGCATAGACCGGCTAACAACACTCACTACATATGCCATATCTGGGCGAGTGTGAGAAAGGTATAGAAGTCTCCCAACAAGTCTCTGATATCTTTCTGTATCAACTTGATCACCTTCATTATCTCTCAATCTATGATTTGTTTCAATGGATGAGTTTGCAAATCTACAACCTAGCATATTGGTTTCCTTCAGAAGATTAATGATATACTTCCTTTTTGAGATGAAGATGCCTTTATTTGATCTGGCTAGTTCAATCCCTAAGAAATAGCGTAAACGTCCTAAGTCCTTGATTTCAAATTCTTTATCAAGGTGGACTTTTAGTTTGGCCACTTCCTCCACATCGTCACTTGTGAGTAATATGTCTTCAACATATACTATAAGAATTGAGATCTTATTAGTCCGTTGTTTGATGAATATTGTGTGATCTTGCTTGTACCCAAATTTAACCATTGCTTTAAGAAATCTGTCGAACCAAGCTCTAGGAGACTGCTTTAATCCATAAAGAGATTTCTTTAAATTAAATATTTTTTCCTTTGTCGCTAGAGATGAGAAACTCGAAGGAAAATTCATATTCACTTCCTCTTCCAAGTCCCCATAAAGTAATGCCCAACTGTTGTAGATTCCATCCCAAATTGGCTATACAAGAAAGAATGACTCGAATGAAATTCATCTTAGCAACTGGGATAAAAGTCTTCAAATAGTCAATACCATACGATTGAGTAAACCCCTTGGCTATTAGTCTTGTCTTGTCTTGTATCTATCCACTATACCATCCATATTCTTCTTGATAGTGAACACCAATTTATAGCCTACTAATTTTCTTAAGGTGAAAGAGACAAAACTTCCAGGTTTTATTCTTGCCCAGAGCTCTCATTTCTTGGGATATAAGAGAAAAAATCCATCCACTAGCATATCTTTCATAAGATACTGCTCCCCTAGAAGAGATGATGGAGTGGAGAAAGATGACTTTGTTTCATGAAATGTGACATCCGTTCTAACATATACCTTCCAGGACTGGGGATGATAACAATTATACCTCCCTTCTGGGTAGCTGAGTAAACAATGAAGACACAATGTAACGCCTTTGATCCAACTTCCCCTTGGTCTTTCGATAATCATGTGCAAAACACATATAACCAAACACTTTTAGAGGAATAAGTAAAGAGAAACTGACCCTTGAAGCAACCCTATAGAAGTGGCAAAGTCGAGGATCTCTCAAAGGCATCTTATTGATGAGATATGTTGCCGTAAAAAACGGAGGTACACCCATCGTAAACATTAAGGAGCATGCTACTTCAAGGAGATATTGATTCTTCCTCTATGCTTATACCATTCCGCTCAGGTGTATTCACCCAACCAGATTGATGAAGTATTCCATGTTCCATAAGATAAGCTTGGTAGTTTCCATTAAATTATTCAGTCTCATTATCCGTCCTGAGAATCATAATTTTGACATCAAACTAAGTGTGTACCAGTTTATGAAAATTCTTGAAACAAATAAACACTTCATTCTTGCTGTGCAATAGATAAACCCAAGTAACCCGTGTGTAGTAGTCAATGAAAGTAGCAAACCATCAATATCTAGTAAGAGAAATAACATGAGATGGTCCCCACACATCAGCATGAACAATTATAAATGGAGTAGTGTTTCTATTATTATTACTAGGATAAAAAGTTCTTGTATGCTTGGCAAATTCACAAGTATCATATAGAAAGTTATCTTTATTATATTGTTTTACCAAAGGAAATTTTTTCTCTAATACTCCAGTTGATGGATGACAAAGTCTTTGATGTCATTGATATAACTGTTGAGGGCCACAAAACTAGAAGCCTACAGTGTTTGAGAAGGTTGATCCTCCAACAAACACAAACCACCATAAGCTCTATCACTGCCAATCATTCTTTCTGTTCCGAGCTTCTGAAAGACACATAGAGAAGGGAAGAATGTTACAAAACAATTTAGAAACTTTGTAATGCTACTTAGTGAGAGTAAGGTAGTAGAAAAATTAGGAACATGGAGGACTGGAGACAAAAATGTAGATGGAGAACAATGTATGTAACTTTTCCCAAATACAAATGATAATGGGCCATCTGCTACCCTAACTTTCTCTACTCCAACATGTGGAATAAGAAGAGAAAAGATTCGAGAAACCTATCATATGGTTAGTGTCTCCAAAATCGATAATTTAGGGATTAGAAGAACGAGTGGTACTAAAAACATTGGCATGTATACCTGTGTGGGCAAGATTGGAAATAGCAGAAGTGGAGGCAAATGCAGATGTATCAAGTCGGGCCATCAAACACCTGAGAGCTTGCATCTCATCTACAGTGAAACTCGTACTATCAGCACCAAAAGATGGAGATGAGCTACTGTAGGAGGGGATAGGATCAACACTCTTAGTCAAATGAGCATGTGAGTGCATAGGACCAA